TGTTTCTCATCCAGCATCCACAGTTCTTTGTTTTTTTTAATATAAAGTTAAAGATTGCATTCGCTCAAAGGAAGTGGCTTATATTGTTGCACAAGAATGGGAGAAATTTTGAATCCAGCAAAGGATGACGAAGAAACATAAAGGGAATACGCATGCAGGCTAGCAACTAATAAGAAAGGCAAACTGTTATGTGGAAATGAAAAGATTAGCAAGGACAGATGTGAATCCATTACAGGTGTAAAAAGAGAATTTAAAAGGGAAAATAAAGAAATTGTGAAAAAAAATCACATTTGTCTGTGATGGGAATACTGGACAAGTCAGATCCTAATGTGAGGTAGACAAACAGGAGGTTGGAAGAACACAGCAGGCCAGGCAGCATCTGGAGGAAAGGAGCAGTCAATGTTTCGGGTATTACCCTTCCTCAGGACTGGGGAGGCAGGGAACTTCTTCAAAGTGGGCATACTTTGAAGAGACTTGGCAGTGGTAAAACTTGGTTAGAGACAAAAAAAAAACTGCAGATTTTGGAATCCAAGGTAGACAAACAGGAGGCTGGAAGAACACAGCAGGCCAGGCAGCGTCTAGAGGAAAGGAGCAGTCAACATTTCGGGACTAATGTGAGACTTGACTTGATAAGATTATAAACTTTATTATTGCTATTTGTTGACCATGAGGGCCAGTCATTGAACTTATCTACAAAAGGCTACCAGTATACTTTCTTTTATTCACTCACGGGATATGGGCATCATTGGCTGGAACAGCATTTATTGCCCATTCTTAGTTGCCCTTGAGAAGGTGATGGTGAGCTGCCTTCTTTAAATGACTGCAGTCCATGTGCTGTAGATAGACTCACAATGCCCTTAGGAAGGGAATTCTAGGATTTTGACCCAGTGACACTGAAGGAACAGCGATATATTTCCAAGTCAGGGTGGTGAGTGGCTTGGAGGGGAACTTGCAGGGACTGGTATTCCCATGTATTCACTGCCCTTGTCCTTCGAGATGGAAGTGGTCCTAGGTTTGGAAAGTGCTGTCTGAGGATCTTTGGTGAATTTCTGCAGTGCATCTTGTAGGTAGTACACACTGCTGCTACTGAGCGTCGGTGATGGAGGCAATCGATGCTTGTGCATATGGTGCCAATCAAGCGGGCCACTTTGTCCTGGATGGCTTCAAGCTGCTAGAGTGTTGTTGGAGCTGCACCCATCCAGACAAGTGGAGAGTAATCCATCACACTCCTGACTTGTGCCTTGCAGATGTTGGACAGACTTTGGGAGACAGGAAGTGAGTTACTTGCCGCAGTATTCCTAGACTCTGACCTATTCTTGTAGTCACTGTATTTATGTGGCAAATCCAGTTGAGTTTCTGGTCAGTGGTAACCCTCAGGATGTTGATAGTGGGGATTCAGTGATGGTAACACGATTGGATGTCATGGGGTGATGGTTAGATTGTCTCTTATGGGAGATCATTATTGCCAGGCATTTGTGTGGTGGAAATGTTACTTGTCAATTGTCACTGTTGCCTCAACCCTGGAATTCAGTTCTTTTGTCCAGTTTTGAACCAAGGCTGTAATGAGGGCAGGAGCTGAGTGGCCCTGGTGAAACCAAATCTCAGTCAGTAGGTTATTGCTGAATATGTGCTGCTTGATAGCACTGTTAGTGACACCTTCCATTACTTTACTGATGATCGAGAGTGGACTGATGAGTGGTAAATGGTTGGTTTGGATTTGTAACATATTTTGTGTACAGACATACCTGGGCAATTTTCCACATTGCCAGTGTTGTAACTGTACCGGAACAGCTTTGCTAGGGGAGCAATAATTTCTGGAGCACAAATTTCTGGAATGTTGTCAGGGCTCGTAGCCTTTCCTATATCCAGTGTCTCCAATCATTTCTTCATACCACATAGAGTAAATTGTATTTACTGAAGACTGGTATCTGTGATACTGGGGACCACTGGAGGAGGCTGAAATGGACCATCCACTTGGCACTTCTGGCTGAATATTGAAATGAATGCTTCAGCCTTGCCTTTTGCACTGATGTGTTGGGCTTTTCCATCATTGACCATGGGATATTTGTGGAGCCTCCATCTCCTGGTAATTGTTTAATTGTCTACCACCACTCACAACTGGATTTGGCCGGACTGTAGAGCTCAGTTCTGATCTATTGGTTGTGGGATCACTTTGTTTTGTGTATCACTTGCTGCTTGTGCTGTTTGGCACTCAAGTAGACCTATTTGGTAGCTTCATCAGGTTGACACCTCATTCCTGGCCATGACGTAGCCGATTGTGCAGGAGTACAAATCTGCTGCTGTTGATGGCCCACAGACCCTTGTGGATGCCCAATCCTAATTTTTAGCTCTGTTTAAAGTCTGTCTCATTTAGCACAGTGATAGTGCTTCCTCCAAGTGCCATTAAACATGGAGGTGTTCTGATTCATTAGCTGAGGGAGGACAGTATGTGGTAATCAGCAGGAGGTTTTGTTGTCCATGTTTAACCTGAAGCAATGAGACTTCATGGGTTTAGAGTCAATGTTGAGACTCCCAGGGTAACTCCTTCCTTACTCTCTACTGTTCTGCCACCACTGTTGAGTCTGTCCTGCCAATGGTGTTGGACACATCCAGGGATGGTGATGGTAGCGTCTGGGACATTGTCTATAAGCTATATTTCCATCAGTATGACTATGTCAGACTGTAGCTTGACTAGTCTGTGAGACAGCTCTTCCAGCTTTGGCACTAGCCCCCTGATATAAGTAAAGAGGACTAACAGGTCCACCGGGCTGTTCCAGCTATTGTCTTTTCCACTGCCTAGGGTGATGCCAGCTGGTCTGTCTGGTTTCATTTCTTTGGTGACACTTTGTAGTGATTGATACAATTGAATGGCTTGCTAGGGCATTTCAGAGAGCAGTTGAGAGTCAACCAAATTGCTGTGGGTCTAGAATCACAAATAGGCCAGACCAGGCGAGGATGATTTCCTTCCCTGAATGACAGATGGGTTTTTCCAACAGTCAGCAATGGTTTCATGGTCATCAGCAGATTCTTAATTCCAGATTTTGTTTTGGAATTCAAATTCCACCATTCTGTTGCGGGATTTGAACCCTGTACTGCAGAATATTAGCAGAGTTTCTGGATTATTAGTCTAGCAATAATACCACCACGCCATCACCCGCTCTTTTACAATAGAACATGTAGGATTAGTACACTCAAAACAAAAAAAGGTACTAACTATATTGTACCATTACAAGAACTAGTTAAAATGCTGTTATTACAAATATCAACTCAAGATTCAATCTTTACGCTCACAACAACAAATTTGCAGATATTTGAACCTCAGTAAAGTGTCACCCTGTTCCCACTTTAGTAAGTTTTTTTTTTGGCGAATCTGCTGCATTCACTTGATGTCATTTTGTTTAGTTAATGTCTTTTCCTGGGATCCTTAAACAGACTGCTAACACGGCTCGCTTATTCCTTATCACTCCTTAATTTGTTATTCAACAGCCTTGTAGGACACCATAAAAACTTCTGTTTCTGGAGCTTTTAGCTCATTAGCTTCTAAGCCGCTTGATAATTCTTTTATTCTGCCCTGACTGTGTTGGAAACTGCTAAACACCACTGTGGCTCTTACATGACTTTCTCTCTGAATTACCTGCTTCTCTACTTGCACACTGCCTTTCTAAATGAACTTGTTTCTGTCTGTGACATAGGACATCTTGCTAGGCAACAGTTCATTTGTTTCTCTCTGCTACATTTTTTTTCCCAAAGTACTGAACTCTTCACCGCAAGATTGACTCTAAGTCTGTTCACCCTCATTAAAAATGTCTGCATCAACAAACGGCTGGCACCCAAACCACATTCAAAACAAATTTAAAATGAACCTAAAAGCTATGTCTTTCCCTTCTTAACCCACACAATATGAAAATGAAACTTGAAGTCATACATGATTTTCTCACTTTATAACATATCTCGGAGGAGGATGCAGACAATCTCCCAGAAAAAAATAGGCAAATTAGAGACTTGTGAAAATGAGGAACTGAAAAAAAATTAGGATTAATAAAGAGGTAGTACTTGAAAAATTAACTGGATTGAAGGTTGATAAATCCCCTGGAGCAGCTGAGCCACATTAAAGAGTATTGAAGGAATTGGCTATAGAGAAAGTTGATGTATTGATAATTATCTTTCAAATTCCCATAGATTTTGCAAAGTTTTCTACACAATGGAAAATAGCCAACATAACTCCAGTATGTCAGAAGGGAAGGAAAAAGAAACTGGAGAACTGAAGACCTGTTAATTTGACATCAGATACTAACATTTTACAATGGATATAATAACTGGACACTAAAATCAATGAAGGATTGAGCAGGGTCAATGTGGATTTAAGGAGTGAAATAGTATTTGACAAATATATTGAAATTTATTTTACAACAAAAACAAATTGCTGGAAAAGCTGAGCAGGTGTGGCAGCATTTTTGAAGAGAAATCAAAGTTAACGTTTTGGGTCTGGTGACCCTTCCTCAGATTTCAAATTTACAGCATCCACAGCTCTTCCAGTTGTAATTCTGGAGATTTTTCTTTAAATTTGGCTTGTAGCAAAGATAAATACACAGAAATTGAGTATTTAGGTTTTCAGAAGGCTTTTCATAAGGTCCCACACGAGGTTGACCAATAATATAGGAAAACTCTGGACTAGGGGTAATATACTTGTGTGGATTGAGAAATAAATAGGTTATTCCCAAGGTGGCAGGCTGGGGTACCACCAGGAACAGGGCTGGGGCCATAGATATTAATAATCTGCATAAATGATCTGGATGCAGGGACCAACTGTAATATATCCAAATTTGTGACTGATAAAACAAATGGGAACGTGGATTGTGAGGAGGCTTCAACTAGATCAGAATTAGAATTGAGTGGACCAGAACAGCTGCAACATAATATAAATAAATATACACAGACGGGGGCGGGGCTGATGGCTGAAAGGCTGCGTGAGCACGTAACCACGCAAATGTGCGCGATGACGTAGGGTGAAGGAGGCGCTGCAGGAAAATGGCGGCGTCGAACAACCCGCGGAAATTCAGCGAAAAGATCGCGCTCCACACCCAGAAACAGGCCGAGGAGACGGCCGCTTTCGAGGAGGTGATGAAGGACCTGAGTATTACCCGGGCGGCAAGGGTGAGTCAGCGCCTTCCGCTGGGCCGAACCGGGCCGGCTGCAGCTGTGGGCTCGGGATGCAGCAGGGACTTGAGGTCAGGCTGTGAGCAGCCCAGGCTTCAGGCTTCGAGCCGTGTTTACAGGCGGCCAAGGGTCCATGGTTTTGAAGGTGTTGAGCTGCAGTAGAAAAGCCTGGGCCCTGTCCTGAGAGCTGTGGAGGGAATGAGTCCAGCTGTCTTCCAGCCAGAGCGCATCATCTTCATTTCCCTCTTCTGCTGCTGTGCTCTCAGCCCACCGGGCCCTGGGACTCCGCTCTGGAATTCCCTATATAAACCTCTCCACCTTCTCAATGCTCCTTAAAGCGACTCCTTACACCAGCATCGATATCTCCTTATGTGGATCGCTGTCAAATCGTATTTGATAACACTCCTGTGATGCGCTGTGTTCTTAGTTTGGAGGGTGCTTGTACGAATGAGTTACTGATCCCGTTTTCAGGGCTGTTTCATTCGGGGGTTCCGAATGTGTTCACTGAGTCTGCATCGTGATTTACTCTAGCGGAAGGGAATCACTCTGCTGATAGTTATGCTGTATTTCTTAAGTTAAGTTCCACAATTTTATATTCTAAACTCTTCGAACGTTTAGATATAAAGTATTTGTAATTTAATGTATTTGGATTTCTTGATATGGTCATTGGTTCTGTAATATTGAGTGAAACAGGTTGCTTTATCTCCAGATGGAGGGATACAGCAAGCTGTGTAAATAGATTCTCGGATCTGGTGGCTGGTAGAGTTTGTTGACAGTGAAAGAGATTGTACTGTTTTCCTGAAAACCTGCCACCCAGTGAGATAACAGATTTTGTTTGTGTCAGGCATTAGTTTGATTTTTGGCTTTGCGTTTTCAGAAATTCAACATTTCTGAACATAATATTGTCTGCATGTGAATGGCTGTTTGTAATTCAGCAGCAAACAAAATTGTGTTCATATAATTGAGTGTGTAGTGTATCCAGTATGATCGCAGGTAGTTAATTTATCAGCCCTAATGATGAACAGTGATAGATGTAGAGAATGAAATAGATAGAGTGGGTCTTACTCATTCGGTCTAAGGACACTGACAAACCAGATTTTAGGATAAGTGCCAGAAGAATGTCAGGGCCAGGTGGAGGAGGCCATTCAACCTTTCAAACTTTTCTGTCTATTCAGGTGGATTACAGTTGATGTAAACTCAACACCATTAATCAATCAGTATATTTTTAATCAACTCCATTAGCCATTAACTCCCTGATACTTGAAATATCTGTCTAGCTCCTCTTTAAATATTTGTAGAGATCTAAACTCCACAATGATCAGGATTAGGAAATTCTAGATATTCACTACCCTCTGAAAAGAAATTCCTTTGAAATTTAGCTTTAGCTGTGTGAATCCTTACTTTGTTACAATGTCCACTAGTTCGAGATTGCACCACCAGTAGAAACATCTTCTCAACATCTACGCTGTCAAGCCCTTCAAGATCTTCGACAAGGGGGCCTCCTAAATGGCCACTTTCTTCCTCAGCCGAGGATTCTACCTTATCGTTTAATCCCTACCCCACTCACCTGCCTATTTTCTGCATATAAACTGACGTTTTCCCAGCCACCATCAGTTCTGAGGAAGGGTCACCGGACCCGAAACATTAACTCTGTTTTTTCCTTCACAGATGCTGCCAGACCTGCTGAGCTTTTCCAGCAACTTTGTTTTTGTCCCTCAGAATCTTCTATGTTTCAATAAGATCATCCCTCATTCTTCTAAACTGTAATAAATAAAGGCCTAACCCATTTTGCTGTTCTGGATAAATCATCCCCTTCAATCTAGGAACCAGCCTATTAAATCTCTCCTGAGCTGTCTTGAATGCCAGTATATTCTTTCTTACATAGAGTCCAAAGCTGTATCCAGTTCTCCAGTTGTAGCCTGACTAATACCCTGTACAGTTGTAGCAAGACTTCCCTATTTTTAAACTCCACCCACCAACCCCCATAGCAATGCTTTTGCCTTGATTATTTGCTGCACCTGAGTGCTAACATTTTGTGATTTGCTAAAAAGAATACTCAGAGCCCACTGCGCTGCAGTTTCTGGAGTCTGTCTCCATCTCAATATCGGTCACCCTATTGACTATTCTACCAAAACGTATTGATCTCTCACTTCCTGTAGTAAACTCTGCCAGTTTTTTTTTGCCCACTCAACCTATCCATATCCTGTTGCAGTTTCCTTGTGTCTTCGTTGCTACATGCCTCCTTATTTATTTTTGTTTTGTTAGCATTATATGTTATGCTTTACCTCCTTCTACAAGTCACTAATACAGATAGTAAATAGTTGAGGCTCAGGACTGATCCTTGTGGCAGTCCACTAGTTACATCTTTCTAATCTGAAAAAGACCCATTAATTTCAATTCTCACTCTTCTGTGTGTTTAGCAGCCCTAAATATACATTAATATATGGTTCCAAGTACCTGTCTTGTGCAGAAACTTTTATGTGGCACCTTATCAAATGCCTTCTGGAAATCCAAATACACTACATCCATTGGTTTCCCTTTATCAACCCTGATTGTTATATCCTCAAAGCACTCTAGCAAATTTGACGAGCATGATTTCCATTTCACAAATTATGTTGACTCTGATTGTGTTAAGTTTATCTAAATGTCCTGCTATTTCTTCCTTAATCATGGACTCTAGCAATCTTCCAATCACTGATGTTCGGCTAATTGGCTTATAGTTTTGAAATACTCCTTGTGATAGAGATTGTTGCAAGATCTTTTCTCTCATGAGCACCTTGCAAAGCTGCTATCTTTGGGATGTTTATCGTATCCTCTATGAAGAAGACTGATGCAAAATATAGGTTTAAATTATCTCCCATACAAATCCAGGCTGATAAATATATCAAAGAAGAGCAGACATCTACTGCTAAGGAACATCACTTGCCTGCAGCCTGAAAAACAACCGGTTACTGCTGGTTACCATCTCTTTGCCAATTTTAGAAGTCAGAGCTTTCACAATTTCCGCCCTAACTTCCTTGAATAATTAAACATGTCTCCTTTCTGGACCTAGTAACTTTTATACTTTGCCTACATTTTCAAATTCTTCCACTTCATCTATTTTTATCCCACCTGATTTGTCTACTGCCTCTTTATAACTACTTCTGGAATTCCTTTCCACGTTAGCCACTCCTCTATTCTCATACTTTCTCTTTAACACTCTTTCTTCAGCTTGGCACTGTACTGAATTATGGAATTTAGATTTGTTATAAGTCTCCTTAATCTATCCTGGATTGACCAGAAACTGAACAGGAATAGCGGTATAAATACTGTGGCTACAAGAGCAGGTCAGAGGCTGGAAATTCTGCAACAAGTAACTTGCCTCCTGACTTCGCAAAGTCTGTCCAGCATCTACAAAGCACAAGTCAAGAGTGTGATGGAATACTATCCACTTATAGACATAGAACACGGAAACAAACCCTTAGTCCAACTTGCCTGCGCTGAACAGGCATTCCAATCTGACCTGGTTCCACTTTGTAGCATTTGGCCCGCTGAACCTTTACTATTCATATATGCATTTGGATGCCTTTTAAATTTTGTATTTATAACCCGCCTTCACCATTTCCTCTGGCAGCTGATTCCATACACGCACCATCCTCTGCATGAAAAAGTCACCCCTCAGGTCCCTTTTTAAATCTTTCCCCTCTCCCCATAAACTTGACTCCTCCACCTTTGAGAAAAAGACCATGATTATTCACCTTATCTATGCCCCTCATAATTTTATAAACCTCTATACGGTCTCCTCTCAGCCTCCAATGCTCCAGGGGAAAAAAAGCCCCAACCTATTCAACCCCTCCTTATAACTCAAACCCTCCAATCCTGGCAACATCCTTCTAAATCTTTTCTGCACCCTCTCAAGTTTAACAACATCCTTCCTTCCTATAGAAAGGCAACCGGAATTGTAAGCAGTATTCCAAAAGTGGCTTTGCCATTGCCCTGTACAGTCGCAACATGTTGTCCCAACTCCTATACTCAGTGTTCTGACCAATGAAGGCAAACATGCCAAATGCCTTTGCCATCCTGTCTACCTGTAACTCCACTTTCAAGGAACAATACACCTGCATTCCTAGGTCTCTTTGTTCAGCACACTCCCCTGGGCCTGGATGGGTACAGCTCGAGGAACATTCAAGGTACTTCTCAGGTCAAAGCAGCCACTTGATTGCCACCCTATCCACCACTTTGAAGATTCCTTCACTAACTTTTTTGTTTTTTTGTTAGGCGCTTCATGGTCTCCCAGATTCAACATTGATTTGACAATTTCAGAGCATTACCGCAATCCGCAATTTGTTTCTCCTTAGCGATTTTAATTTTGCCTTTCCTTTTCTCTTGATTTTGTTTCTGGGTGGCAATTGTTTATTAGTTGGCATTCACATCTCTCCAGGACACAAGTCTTGCTTCTTTACTTGCCCTATTACTCCCACTTCCTTTAATTCCAACCTTTTCTATTTCTGATGCAGATATAATCAATCTAAAATATTAACTCTGTTTCTCTCTCTACATACTGAGTATTTACAGCATTTACAGTTTTACTTCATTTCCAACACCAGTAGTTTGCTTTTATTTACTGAAAAATTTATTTTACGTTATTCACTGTAAAAGTGTTCCTGCTGTTGCTTTTAATGTTTCTTTGAGGGCAAAAAAAAATGCAGGACTGAATTGAAATGGTTGGACAGGGGATTAACTGATTGCATTTACAGAAAGCTAGCACAGACATGATGGGCTAAATGGCCTCCTCTTGTGCAGTAACTTAAAAAAAACTCTATGATCTGAACTGGATGATGTTTGCAGATTCCAGGATAATACATATCAACAGCTCACAGTCCAGTTCCACAGAGAATCCTACACTGGTTGGAAGTATTGAAAAGAGAAGGCAAAGACCTTCGGATTCAATTTAAAAAAAAAAATTTGATGTGTGTTGCTGCGAACCAAAAGACACTGTTCTCCATGTTAGTGACCAG